AAAGTGAGAAATAATTAGGGTTTGTGATGTGAGTGTATTAAGTCCCTGTTTGTTTCTTATTATTTGCCCATTAAAATGAAAAATATGATCGTTATCCATCATATCAAGCCATCATATTTGACTTTCTATTTCTTATGTGGGGCCCGTAATGATTATATTTTCATTCTCATTCTTACATTAATATGGTTCTCAAACGGGGCCTAAGTATATATATTTAGCCATTGTTTGAGCCACATTATTTTTATAAGAATGCATTTTTGAATAATGTATTGATGGAAAATGTGTGATTAAAAAATAAGAAAAAATTTGAAATTTACATGTAATATTATTTTATTGAAGAATGTGTGATTGAAATGAAATCAAATTACTAATTAAGAATATATATATATTCATTCTTAAATATGTTGACAGATCTCGGTCCCCTAACCTTATATCCAGACCATTCCCCCAGTCTTAGGACTGATTTCCTACTCCTCTATCCATGGACTTACGGTACTTTGCCAAAGGAGTTTCGAACCCAAGACCTCCGGGATCACAAGCCTTTCAACTTGGCTCTGATACCATAAAAGGCCCAGGGGAGCAGGTATGGAGATAGAAGAACAGAAATTTATGAAAATAATTGTATTGAAGAAGAAAAATTGTTACAAAGATTCTTGAAAATGAAAATATATTTGTGAGACAAATTATGAAGAAAACAGAAACTTCTTCTTGCTGAATTCGCTCTTCAAGTCCATGATACAGGAACCATGTTTGAAACCAACTTGGAAAATGAGGATTAAAAAGGCCCAGGGGAGCAGGTATGGAGATAGAAGAACGGAAATTTATGAAAATAATTTTATTGAATAAGAAAAATTATTACAAAGATTCTTGAAAATGAAAATATATTTGAAAGACAAATTACGAAGAAAACAGAAACTTCTTCTTGCTAAATTCGCTCTGCCTCCAACTGAAGTCTTGAGGTCTTGCATAGGAGGATGAGTTGATTGGAAAGTATTTCCTTCTGGAGTTTTCCAAGATTTTGAAGGAAGTTTTGTAGCAAAAATTTGATTTGTTTCAACTTTTTTACCAAAAACTTTGATTTGAATCCAATCGTAAAAACTTATTTCTAAATAAGATTTAAAATAATCTTCCCAAAATTGTTCTTTTTCTTTTGAAGAAAATTAACGTCTAAAAAATTTTCGAAAATTTTTAACATGAATATCTTGATCATGTTTGAATTCTTTTCTTCTATCAATTTCAAAAGAAATGAAAATAGATCAAATGTTTTTCAAAATGAAGAAGAAATTGATAATGCATCCATATCATTTGCATCTGCATCAAATGATTTAACTCAAATGAACTTCAAATTGCACAAATTGAACAACGTCTTCAAAATTGGACTATTCCAAAGATAGTTAAAAATTCTATCTATGAAATAGGAAAATTTGATTTTACTCAAAATTATGTTATCAAAACTTTTGAACAAACTATTTCAATCAATAGTTCAAATGCATTTATCAATTTATTTTCAAAAAAATCAATTGAATCCCATAGGAAGAAGTTTAAGTATCTTCATGTTGGATTAGTTCAAATTGCTGTCAAACCATTGTTTAGACTTGATTTAGACATTCCAATTTTACTTACTCTGAGAGATAAGAGACATCTCAAATTTGAAAATTCATTATTATCACTTCTTGAATCAAATCTTGAAAGTGGTCCAGTATTTTCAAATTGTTATCCAAATTTTTCAATCAAATTATCTGATGGAGCCATTCTTAACTCCCTCAATCTTCATATTCAAACTAAAAACCTTGAGTTTGATAGTCGGTCAAATGCTTTTGCTGTAATATATAGAATATATTACAAGTTCATAAATACTCAACTCAATATTGGAGCTCTTCGTTCTTCTCCAAAAGAAGAAAGTCTTTTGGTAGAAGTTAATCATTTTCATTCAAATGTTGAAATTCCTAAAAGAATCCCCTGGAAACTTCAATCTAGAGGACTTGAATGGAATTTTGAAAATGTTCAAACTCCAGTTCCAGCTCAAATACAAACAATTCCAAATGAAATTTTAACTTTTTCTGATGGAAAAGTTAAAATTATTTTCAAATGATCTTCATCTAGAATTCAAAGGTCTTTCTCATCAAGATCTTCTAGATCTGAAGAAAAACCAAGAAATTCTTTTCAAAACTCAAGAAATTCTACATCATCTTTCAAAGGAGTTGATTTCACTCCTAACATCCCAAACCCTTTTCATCGACCTAAAGAAAAAGAAGAAGAAACTGAACAACCAGAATTTCCTACTTTTTCAGATATGGTTTCTCCTGCAAATCAAGATTCACTTGATCATCAATGTAATGTCATTTCTTTTGAAATTGATAGAAGAAAAGAATTCAAACATGATCAAGATATTCATGTTAAAAATTTTCAAAAATTTTTTAAGACATCAATTTTCTTAAAAAAAAAAGAACAATTTTGGGAAGATTATTTTAAATCTTCTTTAGAAATAAGTTTTTACGATTGGACTCAAATCAAAGTTTTTGGTAAAAAAGCTCAAACAAATCAAATTTTTGCTACAAAACTTCCTTCAAAATCTTGGAAAACTCCAGAAGAAAATACTTTTCAATCAACTTATCCTCCTATGCAAAAAATTGTTATTCTTTAGGGAAAAACTGAAATACTTGCATCCCCACTGAAACGAATTCCAAATCTAAAGGAACGACTTGATGAATCTCAGGTTATTGCTAAGGATATCAAAAATATTCAATCTCAGAACAATTTCACAAATATTGTTCTTCAATCTATGTGTTCTCAACTCAATCGAATTGAATCAAATTCTGAATCTGAAACTTCTACTGCTCAAAAAGATTCTTTTATAGAATATCGAGACAGTAAAAGTAAAGATAAAAATTTATCAAAACCATCCTCTTCAACGATTTTCAAAAATGATGATTTAATTCCTACTTTTGGAAAATCTTCAACTCTTTCAACAGCAAATGAAGCTCTTTCAAAACTTGTTACTCAATTGAAAAATTTTCATGTTTCAAAAAATATCAATACAATTGATGAGATAGAATCTCAATTTATTGATGAAAAATTTGATTCAATCCATAAACTCAGAAAAACTGATTATCAAAATATTCCAAAGTTTTATCCTCGACCTTCATTTCCAGATCAACTTTTCGAAGAAAAGTTACTTGCTCAAAAATCATATGATGGTAATTCCGGAGTTGAATGGAACTTAGATAGACTTATTGAACTCCAAATTATCAATCTAATGGGACAAATGACCATTTGTTACAAAACCTTTCTTGCAAAAGGTGCTTCAAGGATTGAAGCTACTAATAATATTGTTCTTGGATTCACAGGACAGCTTGGTCAATGGTGGGATAATTATCTCTCAAGTACTGAGAAAAATATTATCTTCTCCTCTGTCAAGCGTGATGATAATAACAGTATTATTCTCAATGATAATGAAGAATTCATTAATGATAGTTTTACTGTTCTTGGTTTAACTATTATCAAACATTTTATTGGTACTCCAGAAAATTTAATGCAACTTCAAAATGATATTCTTATGAATTTAAGATGCCCAAAACTTCAAGATTTTAGATTGTGCAAAGATATGTTTTTATCTTGTATCATGCAAAGATTAGATTGTCTACAATCTTTTTGGAAAGAAAAATTCATTTCTGGACTTCCAAAACTCTTCGCTGAAAAAGTGAAAAATTCAATTTTTAAAGAATTTGATGATCTTCAAATACTTACTTATGGTGAAGTTATAAATTTCATTAATAAAGAAGCTCTCAATTTATGTGATGATTTGAAACTCAAAGCTAAATTGAAAACAGAAAAATCTCAAACTCGAAATGAGTTAGGATCATTCTACGAACAATATGGATTTGAGAAAGTCTTACCTCCTTCAAAATCGAAAAAACTTTTTCATAAGAAAAGATTTTCAAAGAAAAGATATTTTAAAAATTCTCCTGAAGAAAATTTTGACAAAAAGAAATTTTCAAGAAAGAAAAAATTTTCAAAAAGAAAGTTTTCAAAAAATTATTCGAAAAAGGATTCAAATATTACTTGTTGGAAATGCAACAAGACTGGTCATTATTCTAATAGATGCCCTCTCAAAGACAAAATTAGTACTCTTCAAGTTGATGAAGATACTAAAACTCAACTCCTCAATCTTATTCAAACTAGTTCTGATAATGAGTCTGACTCTGAATTAGAACAAGTTTTTCTCAATTAAGAAGATTCTGATTATGAATCTACTCAAAATTCTGATTCTTGTTCTTCTTCAAATGATAAAAGAAATTTGTGGTTGTAAAACTATAAATGTCTTAACAGGAGAATAAGAAATTATTCAAAATATTATTGATAGGATTGACAATCCTAAACTCAAAAATAAATTTTCATCTATTATCTTCTTCTACATCAAAAGAAAATTTTGATGATATCAATATTACAAATATTCTTCGTCGTGCTCAAAAAGAGCGAATTCAGCAAGAAGAAGTTTCTGTTTTCTTAATAATTTGTCTCTCAAATATATTTTCATTTTCAAGAATCTTTGTAATAATTTTTCTTCTTCAATAAAATTATTTTCATAAATTTCTGTTCTTCTATTTCCATACCTGCTCCCCTGGGCCTTTTTTTTTTTTTTGAAAAAATGTGAATCAAATAGGGCCTTAGTAAAACTATTTATTTTATAAAAATATTAATTAAAAAATATTTGATTTCCTCCTATCTAATTTTAAAATATTGATCTTCAAATATAGGATGAAATGTATTTTCCACTTTCTCCAAACCCAAACTACGTTCAGCACTAGCTGGCCTCGGCCTAATCCAGTAAAAAGCCTAACTAACAGCCCAAACTAACAAACCCATTAAACATCTAATGGGCTTCGTTAAATAAAAAGCCCAAATCCTCATCAGTACCCTGTGATATAAGAATCCAAGCCCCTTTTTGTTTTAGGGTTTCCATTCACAGAAACCCATTAAACATCTAATGGGCTTCATTAAATAAAAAGCCCAAATCCTCATCAGTACCCTGTGATATAAGAATCCAAGCGCCTTTTTGTTTTAGGGTTTCCATTCACTCGCATCCACTGAAGCTGCTTCATCTTATCGGCTGGTGATTCTCTTTCTAACCAATCTTTCTTCGGCCATGGTAATATTTCTTCTCTCTATGTCTTTATCCATGTTCATTTCTTTTAGTTGAATTGATAATCACTGGAAATAGAGGTTAATTTTCGATTTATTATTATTATTATTATTATTATTATTATTTTTAATTTCAGATTATTCCAGAGAAGAATCGGAGAGAGATCTCCAAATACCTCTTCCAAGGTTACATCCTTTCAATATTCAACAGTAGGATTTTATGTTTTTGTTGGTTTCTGATGTGAATTTGTATAAATTTTTATTTACAGAGGGCGTGTGCTATGCGAAGAAGGATTACAACCTGGCTAAGCACCCGGAAATTGATGTCCCGAACTTGCAGGTTATTAAGCTTATGCAGAGCTTCAAGTCAAAGGAGTACGTGCGAGAGACATTCGCCTGGATGCACTATTACTGGTATTTGACCAACGATGGCATTGAGTTCCTCCGTACTTACCTCAATCTTCCTTCAGAGATTGTTCCCGCCACACTGAAGAAATCCGCCAAGCCCCTTGGCCGTCCCATGGGTGGACCGCCAGGCGACCGACCACGGTAAGTATTTTTATTTGCTCCATTCTATCGAGTTCATCAGATTCTGGTTTTTACGCCGCTCGTTAAGTGAATTTTTTTCGGAATGTGATTGGTTTGTTTGGATGTGACTTTCACTATAGTAAATGGACATTTATTTTACACTGACATTCTATTGAGCTAGTAAAATGTTAATGAATAATTTTTAACTTTTTGTTTTGTTAATTTATAACGTGCTTCTTTTCGTGGCTATATTCGTAACACACTTCAAAGGGATTATGTGTACTTTATAACTGATTAGTATTTTGGGCTTTGTTGCAATAGTGGACCTCCAAGATTTGATGGTGATAGGCCAAGGTTTGGAGATAGGGATGGATACCGAGGCGGGCCAAGAGGACCTCCAGGTGAATTTGGTGGTGAAAAGGGTGGAGCTCCTGCTGACTACCAGCCTGCTTTCAGGGTAATTTGGGTGTCTTAATACTACATTCCGTTTGAATGATGAATTAGTTCTGCTATTCTTTGTTTAGCGTATAGTGGATGAACTCACCCTGTTATTTCCAGCCTTGTAATTATGCACCTGTTGGATAAGTTTTCGTGTTGGCCACTGAAAATTATGAGTTAGTGCAATAATTTTAATGTCAACCTTTTTGGCTAAAAACTTTTTGATGCCCATTTTTGCAAAAAAATGCATTTTGGAATAATGATTTGACGGAGAATGTGTGGTTAAAAAATAAGGAAAATTTTTGGATTTGCGTGTAATATTAGTTTATTGAAGAATGTGTGATTGAAAAGAAGAGGAAAAAATGCATTTTGAAAAAAATGGGAATCAAACAAGGCCTAAGCTTTTTTCTAATGGTGCTGCAAAATGCTTTGTTTGGCGACTGTGTTTTATATCACTTTGCACGGGAGTTTATAAGTAATATATTTAGCACATACCCATTTGCTATATTTGTAAAACTCATTCGCACTGCACTGTGATGAGACTTTTGTACCACTTAAGAATTTATTATAATAGTTAGCTTCTACCGATTAGAACCAGCCAGCTAGAGATTAATATAATAGTTTCTTTTGCCTTGAAATATACTCTGTTAAATTCTCATTGTATTGATACTCTCTTTCGATTGTTCTGCATTTCCTTCTTTTTAATTTGTTTGTCCGACAAAATATCTATTTTAATGCCAGTGTATTTCATAGACATAAGCATATTTGCTCAAAAGTAGTGATGTCATATTGATAGATAAGTTGGACATATTTATTGTTTTCGATCTTCACACATCACAATATCAATGCTTAGTTGTGCAACCTCCTATCATTAGTTAACCTTTTTTTTTTTTTTTTGCTCAGTGTAAGGACTGAGTTTTTCGTTTCTAGACTTCGATGGACAATTTTCTTTGGTTTAATTATTTTTATAATTTATATAGTACTATATGGGAAATTCAGAAGTTACTCTCCTTTACGTGCAGGGTTCTGGTAGTGGCGGAAGGCCTGGCTTTGGACGTGGATCCGGTGGGTTTGGTGCGCCACCCCCAAGTTAAAAACTTATTCTTGATCCTTTTATCGAGTTCAATAGTTTTTGCATTAGTGTTCCGATGTTGGAATTTATGTTATTTTGCCTCGAGGCTTTCTTTTTATTTAAGAATACTATATTGTACTTTGATTTTCTCTGCAATTTTGTTGAGTTTGGATCTTAACATTGCAATGGCGTTCTCATAATTTATAATTTCTATATTGGAGTTCTGTCAATCTTTCATTAGATGAGTGAAACCTCAAGTTTATTGTTGTTTGTTACTTCAATGAATGCCTGATTTTGTAATTTCTTCTTTTTACAATGTAGAAATTGTTTCTGTGATGCTTTATATTTTACAAATTTACATTATGATTATCAATTTTGATCAGTCAGTTGAATCGCACAATATTTTAATATCACTGATTTAAGTTTAATAGAAAATTCAATTAATTCCTCTCGAAGATCGAATAATTCAATTAAAAATAAATTAAAATTTTGCAATGTTTACTTGAGCAGCTGATTTCCTTTTCATTGCATTTTCTTGTTTTCCACTTGACGTATTGTAATTTTGATGCGATTTTCTGCAAGAATTTTATGTTGGTAATAAATTTTAAAGGAAAAATTGTAGCAACAATGCCTAATCTTTCACTTTTTGTAGACTTTATCTTAATTTTCAATGTGTATTAGCAGAGGGCTCTAACTTTTAAGAAATAATCACCTGGGGTAAAAATGGATGTAAATTGTCCAATTGATCGTTAGTCGACAAACAAAAGTGGATTTTGACTAATTTTGATCAAATTGAAATGAGTAAAATGATAACTTTGCTATTATATACATAAAATAATATTAAAAACCAGAAATAAAACAAAACAAAATAAAATAAAAGGGAGAAGAAATAAAAATAAAAAATCTTCTTCTTCTATGTCTCACCCACCTTCCACTCCACCCACCCCCAAACCAAAACCCAGAAACAACTCGCCGACCACCACCTGCTACTTCCAACCATTGCTAGCCACCATTGCAAACCAAACCAACATCTCAAACAACTAAAAAATCTCCCCCATTTGCTATTATATACATAAAATAATTTAAAGATTAAAGGCCTCCATTTTCTCTCTAACTCTTAACCATAATTTTTACTTCTCCAACACACAGAATCTCCCACCTGAACTTTATTTCGCTCACAATACAAAACCCATATTCAAATTTCATAAACAGTGCTGGAGATTCTGGGTTTTGGGCTCAGCAGGGGACAGAACAACCCGTATGCACAGAGAGACGATTCTTGAAGCAAGCTTGAGTTTGAAGGGTGAAATGGGTTTTATGGGAAACCAAGTTGTTGACACACTAAAAGTGTAGCCCAAATCAAATAGTCTAAAGAGTGAAGTCCAATTGGGGAGTACAGGATAAAGGTCCAAATAGGATTATTGATGAATGAAGCGGAAGTCCACGAACACAGTAATATTATCGCCTAAGCTTGCAAGACGCCCAGAATCTGAGCGAATGAAGTGCCTTACGGTCGCCTAGAGCGATGACCCCGTTCTCGCCCAAACCTTCGAATCGCCCAAAATCTTAGCAAACATAAAATATTATGGTTATTCAAAATAGCAGTTATTGAAACAGTTATTGGGTAATCTTATCATATTCCACGATTCAAGGAGCCGAGTTGAAGGCGGTTGAACGATAAAGAGTAATGGCAGTAGTTAGAGACGACAGTTCCACGACAAGTTAGCCACCATAAAGAAAGTGGGTAGTTATAAAGCAATCAAGCAGTTTTCAAGAGGTTTGTCACGAGGGAATCATCAAGGGAATATAAAAAGGAAGAAAAGACATAGAGAAAAAGACCGAATCAAACACTCTCAAATAGAAAATATGTAATTTCAATTTCTTAGTTTAAATTTAAACACTTCTTTTAGTACTCATGTGCTTACGCCCCTTGGAGGCATTCTGTTTATTTTCAATTATAAATCATCGCAAATAAAACACCTCTTTTTGGGACCTTGTCTCAAGAGGTCTGTTCCTTACACAATCGTTTGATCTCTTTTTTAATTGTTAACGACTACACGCGCGAAACACAAGTAAATGGGGATTTCAGGGATTTTGTGGAATGGATTTTAGGGGTTTGAGAGAGGAGGTTTGTAGCTGCCGTTGTTGGGTGGAAAGTGAAGAAAATGCAACAGACAACGAAGTGGGCACCTTTTTTTTATTTCTATTCTGATTTTTTGGGTTTTTTATTCTTTATTCTTTTTAGTTTTTTATAATATAGTTTTGACTAAGTTACCATTTTGTCTTTATCAAATTCAGCCAAAATCAATTTATTCGGTCAACTAACAGTCTAATCCATCCATTTGAACTTCAACTGCATATTTATTTATAAAAGGTTATAGACCTTCGTTGACAAAAATTAAAGGTTAGTGTAAAATCTGTAAAAGGTAAAAATGTTAGGGATCGTTGCTACAATTTCTCCATTTTTAAAGAAAATAATCTTGCAATTAAATTCATGAAATCTATGTTTCAAAAAGGAAAAATGAAAAGAAATCATAAATTCCAGCCACAGAAAATGATTTTTCAGTTAGATATCAACATTTTGAATATAAACGAAGAGTTCTACTGAAATTCAACTACTGCACTAGCACGACTATATCTATAGATACATACAACACAAATATACATCAAAACAAACAATTTTCTAATGATGCCTTTCAATGCATCATATGTTCATCAAAAACTCTCTAGTCCAACCTCAATCTTTGGAATCAAATTATGGGTTGACATCATCATTTTCTTTGTTTTAGCCTTATCTCTTGTTCTGATCATCACTCTTCTTTTCATTTTTTCGCGTCGTAAGAAAATACTTAACAAATCAAAGCCTGTTTTGACGAAAAATTTTGTTCATAGTCCTGCTTCCATGAACAAGAGGTTGTTATCACGTAATGGACGGGATATTGAGATGAGCACTGGGACACCGGAGTACTCCGATCAGTGGTCTACTCCGGCCATTGGGACAAGGGCAAACGTAGGGGCAGTGGCTATGGATATAGGGCCGGTTAGCCGGTATACATTTGGGGAGATCGTTGCAGCAACAAATGGCTTGGCCGATGAGAATGTGATAGGAAGGGGAGACTATGGGGTGGTTTATCATGGAGTTCTATTCGATAACACCCGAGTTGCAGTGAAGAAGTTGCTATATAAAAGGTAAATGTTGGAGTGATGAAAGCATTTCATCAATGTTGTTTTCTATTTCCATTAATATTAGGGCTCAATCCCCAAACACTAAATATTCGTGGCATGGAGAATTGATAGGAGTAGAACCAAAGAATTCGAAATCCAGGCAGAAGCAGTGTGGTTCATTAGACACAAGAACTTGGTGAAGTTGCTGGGATATTGTACAGAAGGAGCATACAGGTACCAGTCGTAGTGACATGTTTGGTAAAATTATCAGACAATATTAAGGAAAAGAAAGAAGAAGAGCTGAAATCTCGTCTATTGTGCTGTTTAGTACTATCGATCTTATAATGTGTTTTACTTTGATCCATAGGATTCTTGTGTATGAATATATTGACAATGGCAATCTTTACCAATGGCTGCACCACTGCATAAGCAAAATTAGCCCGTTGACATGGAATATCCGATTGAAAATTATCATAGGAATTGCAAAAGGGTTCGTTACTTCCTCGAATTCAGCTAGTTCGTTTTTTTATATAGCCCTTCAGAGTTAGCTCATGAATAGGAAAATATTTCTTTCTTCTCTCTCTCTCTCATTTTTTTTTTCACAGCTTGGCCTACCTTCATTATATTGTGATTACTTATCGACTTGGCTTATAAGCTGCATTGAATCTGTAGTTACACTGCACCAGAATATGCTCGAACTAAAGTTCTAGACGAGAAAAGTGATATTTACAGCTTCGGCGTACTTATAATGGAGATTATATGTGGGAGAACTTGCATAGAGTCATCTGTGACTGAAATAGAGGTTGCTGTTTCTGAGGGAAAAAATTACCAATTTGTTTAATTCTATACGTTCTTCTTCTTTAAAAAGATTAACTTTTTCATGTATTGTAAGTTGTAATTGCAGGAATATTTGGTTGACTGGATAAAATTCATGGTGTCAGAACAAAAAATTGACCTTATAACAGATTCCAAGTTGTCTGAACTCCCTTCAATGAAGGAACTCAAAAGAATTCTTCTTATAGCTCTTCGATGTGTTGATCCAGAAGTCGATAATAGGCCTAAAATCGGAGAAATAATCCATATGCTCGAGCCTCGTGATTTACTACTCAGTGATGTAAGAATGCTTCCCTCTCCCAGCATTTATTCAATTACGTTAAACTGAGAAGCTTCTTCATTCGCTTCCCGGATTTTTGCAGGAACGTGTTATTAAGAGGGAGATTTCTCGTCGTAATTCTTTGAAAGAAGATCGGTTTGCTCAAGTTACTTATAATGATTGATGATCATTAACAAGAATTCTTAATTTTTTTGACGTTTTACTTCATTACTTCTTGATATTCGAAGTTTTAGTATTTCGTTGGAAAGTGCATTGGCTGATAATTATATGTATCGGTATTATTTCTTTGTTGGCATGCATTGGACAATATTAAGGAAGAAATCAAAGTTATAATGTTACAAATTTTCAAATGAACATAATCTATGTAAGGGTGACAAAAGGGTCGAGTAGTTCGTCAGCTCGGCCCATGCCCAAGCCGAGGCTATGCTCGTCGAGCTCACGCTTACCCACAAGCCAAAAGTTCAACTCGTGGGCTCGTCAAAAAAGTCAATTTCTTTTTTAAAAATTTTGAGCTTGTGGGCTCAGCTCGACTTGACTTGAGCTCACGAGCTTGTGGGTCAAGCTTGGATCGTGCTTGATCGAGCTCGTGGGTAGATGGATTAAGCTGTCTCGGCTTGGCCCATTGCCACCACTAAATTTTTGTGTTTTTCTAGTACTTTATCGGGCAATAGATCATAGGGCTTGGGCAAAATCGAATCGGAGTTCCTACAATGTTAATGTAAGGATAAATCTATTTATATATAGATGAGAGTGTATGGACACCCTTATGTACATAAAATTATGTACACCAATCACAACCCGTTAATGCAATTCCATGGCAATACGATTGATTTCTAAGAAATTTCCTTTGATTTCAAAGCCAGATCAATGGTCACACTAGAAAAACAATCAGTATTCCCGTGGACTAAGCTCCTCGAAGTATAAAATATCTCGAGACACGTGAATAAAAATTAATGAAATATTTGTGGTAGTTTATAAATATAAACAGAACGTATGAGATATGATCACCCTTTACCTCAAATCTCTTCAAAATTACAGTCGCGGATTTCCATGATCACATAAAAATAAAACTATGTTTCATTGGCATGAAAAATGTTTCTTCAAAAACAAAGAAAATAAGACATATTTTCAAAACTTGAAAAATAATTGGGAAATTTTGTTAAATAGTCTAGTCAAACAAGGTATTTGATTAAATAACATTGTTCCAATATTTGTTGGTCAAATGGCTATCAATTACAAAATACAATAAACAAATGATATCAAATGTCTAAAACAACCTCACCATAGAATAGACTCAAACACCCATTTCAATGTAATTAAATTCCTCATTCATCTCCAAAATACGTGATCTCTCTGTGCTTACTACCCTAAAACCATGTTTTTCATTATATTTTTCACTTATCTTCTCCAATATTTTGAGTATTTGAACAAGAATTTTAGTTTCCATATTATCTACCATGAAATTTCTACTTTATTTGAAGAAAAAAGAAATGTATTTTTAGAAATCTCATGCATATTGGTACTTTTATTATTGAATATAGTATAAAATGATGTTTTAAATTATTTTATTTCACATTTGGTATATTTTATACTGTCCACAACTATTGGATGATAACGGTATTCAAGCTATTATCTGTGGCGTAGAACAATACTACAGCTGTTATCTTTTATGTAAAATATAGAAATGATGTTTAAAAATTAAATATTATTTATTTAACAATAATTAATTTCAAAATATACAAGGCATTAGTTATTCATATCGTGTTTACATACATAACGATACTTATTCCAATTTCATAATAGTAACGGCATTTTTGCTATTATCTTTTTTCAAGTTGATTAAGTAGTGAGCAGATTTCTCAAATTTTGTAAATGAAATGTCCATCTTGCTACTTAAATAAGTAACACTTATTGAATATCGAGGCTCGGAAGAGTCGTGGGTGCTCATATTCGTGTTTATATATAAAATAGAAGACGTGACTTTACGTTTAATGATAATTATGTCGTTCTATTGATTTCTTCAATATTTAACTTCTTTTCCACCGCAATAACCTCGAGCATTAGATCCTCTAACTTAAGAAAGTCAGAAATGTTAGTTATGTGACAGATACCGATAGAATTGACATAAATTATATAATATTGAATGGGTAACGTCACAGGTCATGATCTACATTCGTTGGAAAATAAAATTAATGAGTATATCTCTTAAATTTTGTAAACGACACATCTATCTTGCAATATAAATGAGTTCAACTTTCCAAATATCAAGGCTCGGGTGGGTTGTGAGTGCTCATACTTGTATTTATATGTAAAACGACACACGTTATGTTTAACGGCACTTGTGCCGTTCTATTGATTTCTTCAATATTTTGCTTCTTTTTCACCCTAATGACCTTGAGCATTGATCCCTAACTTAAGAAAGTCCGAAATGTTGATTATATGACAAAGAGCAGTAAAATTGACATAAATTATAGGGATATTTGGTGAGAGATAGTCGGGTCGCCCAATAATTTTGAATAAATAGCCTTTGACCAATACAGACCAATACAAAAAAGAGAAAAAAATCAGATAGTTTAATTTATAAAATTACCAAACTATCCTCAGCATTTTAACATAAAAATTCTTCCAAATTCCTTCATTCACCCATTTTCTTCTCAGGTAAACTCTATTCTCCCAAATTCAAGAATCAACGTCTCTCTTCTTCTTCCTCTTTGTGGAAATCTTACGAAATCTACTACAAATTTGTGGGAATTCATCTTCTTCCCCTGTTCATTTTCTTCAATTTTAAGTTCTCAAAATTACAATCACCTATTTTCTTCTCTTCAATAACCATTCTTGCTATTCTAAAATTATGTTCTTTATTATATTTTTCACTTATTTTGCGTATCTTTTGAGTATTTGGACAAGGGTTTGATTAGCATATCATTTACATTGAAAAATTGCATTTACATTCAAAGAAAGAAGGAAATATGTTTTTAGAAATCTCATCTATGTTGTATTTTTATTATTAAATATAGTATTAACATCTCTCTTCTTCTTCCTCTTTGTAAATATCTCACGAAATCTACTACAAATTTGTGGGAATTCATCTTCTTCCCTTGTTCATCTTCTTCAATTTTAAGTTCTCAAAATTACAATCACCTATTTTCTTCTCTTCAATAACCATTCTTACTATTATAAAATTATGTTCTTTATTATATTCTTCACTTATTTTGCATATCTTTTGAGTATTTGGACAAGGGTAACCATTCTTGCTATTCTAAAATTATGTTCTTTATTATATTCTTCACTTATTTTGCGTATCTTTTAAGTATTTGGACAACGGTTTGATTAGCATATCATTTACATTGAAAAATTGTATTTACATTCAAAGAAAGAGGGAAATATGTTTTTAGAAATCTTATCTATGTTGTATTTTTATTATTAAAAATAGTATTATATAATATTTAGTTGGTATTATTTTCGTATTTATTGTGTTTTTTGTGTTATCTGCAACCATTGGATGTAATAACACTCCAACTGCTATTTGAAATATAGAATATCACTCCAATCGTTATCTGTAAAGTAAAACGATATTACAGTCGTTATCTACTATAATTTGATTTTTTCAACGAAATGACTCTAATAATGGACTCACTAACGTATATAACTCAAAAGGTTGACCAATCACAATGAACGATTAAAATGACATAACATTTATGTTATTGAGATGGTGAAAATATAAGTTATCACACTTATATGTGTCGATTAAATTAATAAACATATCTATCAACTTTTGTACGTGTCATGTACATATTACAATATAAATCTGTTTCATTTATTATTTTTCAAGGAACGAATTGACCGTGACTAATTATACTTATATTTATACACGTAACAGCACAAGTGTTTCCATATCCAGTAACAACACTTGTGTCGTTCTGAAATTTTCACATATATTCTATTTTTTCAACAAAATAATATTTAATAATGGACTCACTAACATGTGTAATATGGAAAGTTTGACAATGTCATAAATAACTTAAATGAGTTCTACTATTGGTTCTCGGGACATAGATAAGACGTAATTGATTTTACTCGTTTTTACACGTATAGCCCTTGTTTAAGCCTCATTTTTTTTTATCAAAATGTATTATTGAACAGTAATTTGATCTCATCTTAACCACACCTTTTTCAATAAAATAATATTATATGCAAACTCAAAACTTTTTCTTGTTTTTTAACCACACATTCTCCATCATAACACTATTACAAAATTCATTTTTTGAAAAAAAAGGGCTTAAACAATCCCATAATGGCACTATGGTTTTTTCATATTAATAACGACACTTGTGCTGTTCTGTTGATTTTTCCTACATTTTTGCTAATGTCTTTTAAGTTAAATATGCTCATTAATGTTAGTCTAACATCCCAATGTGAGTTAAGAAATATGTTCATTAATTGTCAATCTAGCATCCCAATGATGACAAAATTACCGTTATAATTGTAAATTTACTTATTTATGAGAACGACACTTGTGTCGTTACTAAGATGAGAACGTCACTTCTCTATGAGAATGACACTTGTATCGTTATTAAGATGAAACGTCTATGAGAACTTCAAACTGTCATTATATTTTATTTATAAGTGTCCATGAGAATGACACAAGTGCTATTTACAATATATTGAAAGTCCTTGAGAACGGTACTAGTGTCGTTACTGAGATGAAAAGATTTAAAAGAACAGCACAAGTGATATACATAAATATAAACTTTTATTATTACTATGAGAACTGCACAATTTAGGGTGTCCAATTATAAAGGTCATTGCGTTGAAAACAAATGAAAATAAAGGAGAAACCAACATAACAGCTCAAGTGTCGTTACTGATAATAAAATGGCATTTGCGCTATTCTATCTATCATTAAGAGTTTAAGCAACTAGGACCTGTCCTTGCCTCGTGAAATAATAAGTTGAACTCATTTAATTTGCAAGTTGATTATGGCATTTAAAAAAATTACGAGATATGCTCATTACTTGTATTTTATTGAAAATAATAGAATAACTTATGTCAATTCAACTGTTCTATCTTTCTTAAGTTAGAGGATCCATATTTGAAGTCACGTGATAAGCACATATTTGCTTTAAGTTGAATATTAATTGTAGTTATAGTTTTTATGTCTTT